GCCTTGCAGTCCTGAGCATCTGAGTTCAATTTTTGGGGGCTTTTTGGGTCATACCCAGAGATGCCCAGGGGCTACTCCTGGCTCTGCACTCAGGAATTATTCCAGGTGGAACACCAACTGGGAGCTCTTTGGCACTATTGCAGAAACATGGGAAGATGCCATTATTGAAAACACTGACAAGGAATATCTTGCCCGCACGGCAGAGCCTGGCAAGCGACCCGTGACGTATTCGATATGCCAAACACAGTAACAACAAGTCTCATGATGGAGACATTACTGGGCCCGCTCGAGCAAATCGATGAATAACGGGAGGACCGTGACCGTGACCATGACAAGCAATACGATCGACTGGTTCGGCACCTCCATAATTGTGCGAGGAATGCTGAGAGATAGCCACAAAAAGACGCCTGTCTTCAAAAACACTTGAGCTCATTTGCCAACGTGGCTTGGCGCAAGCCTTAGGCAACCGCAAGTAAATGTCCAAGCTCACAAAACAGTGTAGAGTAGCGATCAAGGAAGAGCTCAAAGAGAGAAGAGCAGCAGTGCTGGCCGATATGGCAGAAGCCAGGAAAAGCATTCACAATGCCCACCTGTCCTTCGCCAAGCACAAGACCAAGATGACAGCCCTCCAATGTCCTCATGGATCTATCACATCTTCCAGAAGGGCAATGAAGAAGATTATCCATGACTTCTACTTGGATCTCTTCGATAGCCATGTCCAGCTGCCCACATACCAAATTCTGCAGGATAGATATGTCGTTCCCAAAGTTCTCCCTTCTGAAATCTGAAAAGCCATTTTGTCAGTAAGAAGCAAACAGCACCTGGCTCAGACAAGGTCAGATCTAAACACCTGAAGAACCTGCTGTCAGTACTCATCAATACACTGGCTCGGCTCTTCACATGCTACCTGTCATTGAATGCAAGGTTCCGTCCCAGTGGAAAACCAGCAGGACTGTACTACTGTACAAGAAGGGAGACATCCACAACATTGGCAACTATCGCCCAATCTGCCTACTGTCTGTCATCTACAAGCTGTTCACTCCAGTCATCCTGAATAGGATTGGCAGAACACTAGATGAAGGACAACCATGCGAGCAAGTCGGGTTCCGAAAAGGATTCAGTATGATCGACTATATCCACATGGTAACCAAGCTCATTGAGGTTTCTCAGGAGTTCAAGATGCCGCTCTGTCTAACATTCATTTATTTAAAGAAGGCCTTTGATTCTGTTGAGACTGAGGCGGTCAGGGAAGCCCTAGACAAACAGAGCGTTCAAACTCAATACATCAAGATCCTCCGTGAGCTGTATTACGGATACACTACCAGGATGTCACCATTCTACAAGGAAGTGATCATCCATGTCAAGAGAGGGGTTTGGCAGGGTGATATCATTTCACCGAAACTCTTCAGTGCCACCCTCGAGAACGTCATGAAGACGACTAAAATGGGAAGGAATGGGAGTGAAGATAGATGGTCCGCAACTACACCACCTTCACTTCACTGATGACATTGTTCTAATAACACCAAACATTAGCCAAGCAGCACAAATGCTGGCCGACTTCAACCGTGAGTATGGAAAGGTTGGACTACAACTGAATCTCACAAAGACAGTGTTTATGAGAAACAGTCTCATTCCTGATGTTCCATTCACTCTCAACAGAACAAATATCTCTGAATGCAACAGTTATGCGTACCTAGGTCAAGAACTCAACATGACGAATGACCTGGCACCTGAGTTGCACAGGAGGAAGAGAGAGGCTTGGAACGCCTTCAAGAGCATCAGATATAGCTAAGAGGACGAAGAACCTCCAGGCACATCTCTTCGATTCCACTGTTCTTCCTGCATTAACATATGCCTCAGAGACCTGGGCCCTACGCAAACAGGATGAGAATGCTATTCGGGTCTCCCAAAGAGGAATCGAAAGAGCTATGCTTGGAGTATCACACTTCACTCAAGTGAGAGAAAGAATCCGGAGTTCCAATCTCCGTTGACAATTGAGAATCAGTGATGTTGTCTCGTTTGCCATGGCATTGAAAATCAGATGGGCCGGACACATAATGTGATTTGGAGATGACCGCTGGACTAGAGCCCTTACCAACTGGATTCCATGGGAGGTCAAAAGATCGTGTGGTCACCAACCTATGAGATGGTCAGACTTCTTTGTCAATACCCTGAACGATCGGTTTGAGGCTCTTTGTGTTCCTAGAACGAGCAGATGTCATTGGGCTACACTAGTATGCGACAGGGACAAATAGAGACATTACTGGTGCCTGCTCGAGCAAACTGATGAGCAACGGGATGTCAAGTGATCAAGTAATCAAGTGAAGTTCAGTTATATATCTACACACACAATCTAATAGTACTGTCAGGTTTAAATGAAAACCAGACGTCCCCCAAGGCTCCCTTTCTCACCTAAATCCGTCTCTCGGGACGGTCTTTGGACTCTTTGGGTATTTCTCCTACTATATCCTCCATGTTTCCTATGACATTTCTCGGTTCTTGGTTTCTTAAGATGAGATTTTATCAGCTGGTCCCTCCTGTAATCTTGAAGGGAACTGCTGACATTCACCTGCCCAACCACTCTTTCTAAGGGTAACAATAAAACTGAAGTTAAACCAATATTCTACATGTCTATTTCCCTGGCCATGCAGACACAGCTCACTGCTTAACTATGCTAGCTCCACGATTCCATTTCTAAACAGTCAATGTTTCATTTCTTAAAATAAATTTTGTTTTTGTTTTTTTGTTTGTTCTGGGGCCATATCTGGCTGGGCTCAGGGGTGACTCCTGACTGTGAGCTCAGGAATCCCATCTTGCAGGGCGTAGGGGAGCACAAATGGTGTTGGGGACAAACCCGGGTCAGCCGCGTGCAAGACAGCACTATCTCTCTGGCTCCTACCCATGCTCGGTTCTTTGCTTTTCTTGGAACAGATGAGCACTGCTTTGTTCTGTTCATTTACTTCAAGAAATCAAATCATGAAACTAAGAAAATAGTTATCTCCGGGCTTTCTTCAAAAAAAAACTAAAAAATTCCCACACGTGGTAACTGATGAGCTTCTTTTTGGTTTCTTGGCCAACTCTCCAGGACAGCCCTTCCTCCGGAGTTGGCCTCCAGGTGCGAGTGTGACCCGGGCTTCCCCCGCCAGCCAGGTAAATGCCTGCTTTTTTGGAGCCCCTATCATTCCCTTTTTCCTGTTGCTTCCTCGGGGGTAGAGAATCACCCTCCCAGAGTTTCCTGCAAAGGGCACGCGTGAGGCAGATGATTTTCAGCACCAAGTGTCTGAGAACGCCTTTGCTCTGCTGTACTCCTGCCAAGAGCCTGGCGGAATGAATGTACAATGTTGGCATGGAAATCACTTCTCCCCCCAACTCTGAGCACACTGGAATTCTGATGTCAATTTGGGTCTTTGGAAATAACCTGGACACACACACACACACACACACACACACGCACGCGCACGCACGCACATGCACACACACTCTCTCTATTTCTCTCCTCCCCACCTCTCTACGCCCTCCCTGCCCCCTCCATTTAACCCATGTTCTGGTACTTAAGAACCGCGTCTCGGAGTAAACATCCTCTCTCTCTCTCTCTCTTTTTCACTGTGCTTTCTAAAAACACAAAAGGCCCTTTCTTCGCTCCGCTTCGCCTGTTCTAACATTTTAGGACTCCTAGTAGTGATATAATGGAACTCCTGAATCAAGACTCTTATTTATTTATCTTTTCGTCTCCCATCATTGTGTTTGGTGAATTCTATTTTTCTAGAAAAATTACTCAATTTTTTCTTCCATCTGTCCTAACTCATCCAGGAAACCTTTTGTATCTGTGGTTCTACTTCCAGTTTCCACGGGTCATTCTTTCCCAATTGTCTTCTTTTATGAGATCCTGATCATTTTTCTCATCTGAAGATGGGGTCGTGTTGAATTTTTGCAGGCGTTTCTCCTTGCCCTGCTCCTCATGCCTCCATGCGGCTCTGTTCTCTCTCGCCTGTGCCTTCGCTCCTGGATCCAAGCCTCCTGTCGGACGAGCTCAGGCCATTATCCGCTGACCTCTACCTCAGGGGGTAAAGTGCTCAGATTTGCTGGAGGACAACCCTCCCGCCAGCATCTTTTATTGTCCCTGCTGTGGAGTCCACTCCCCATCTCCCCCAGACCCAATCAGGAGGTTTGGGGGAGCAGCGACGTCGAAGGACTCAATTTTTCTAGTTTTACGTCAAGAGAAAATAAACGTTCCATGTCCTGTTAGTGGATTGAGCAAGGGCTCAAAATCGGGCTGAACCTCCTGTTTCTGAGAGTGCGGGGCCTCCACTGCCCACTGACTTTTCTCTGTTGCACAGAAGTCAGCTGACTTCCTGATGGCTGCTCATCCCAACAGCTGGAGCAGAGGAGAGAAAGCTGTCCCCACATGGTTACCACTGGAGCCCAGGCAGCTGCCAGCTGCCGGGCCACTCACCCCTGGATTTTAATCTCTGGATCTAAAGCTGCTGATCCCTACCAGGAAGCAGAGTTAAACACCCATGGGCCATCCATCATGGCTGCCTGTACCTCTGAGCTCCATCAAAAATTCACTGCATCTCACCAAACAAGAAGGGGGTTCCAAGATGAAAGGGAGGTTAAGAGGGAGAGCATGGAGGCGGGAGAGGGCACGGCAGTGCTCTGAGCAAGTACCCCAACTGCAGAGGGGCTGGGGGTGAGGAGGGTGTCCTGCTACTCACTGGTCACATGACCAAGAGCACTTCCTTCCCTGCTCTGAGCTTCTCTTTCTCCACGCTTACCCCAGCCCACCCCGCCCCCAGGGGCTGAAGCCTAGATGACACAGAAGAAGCTCGAAAACACTGAGAGTTAGCAAGGAAGAAAGACTAGAATCACTTTTGCCAGCCTGATTTTTAAATAGATGTTCCTGCAACAGAGTATATTAAAGATCAAAAGGTGGGGGGGAATCCCCATCCAAGTCAAAATTCTAAAGAGGAGAGGAGAAACGGCGCCGCCTGTGTGGGTACCTGAAGCATCAAGTCTTTCTGACTGGCGCTTTCCGGGGGGCATCCCATCTCCCGCTCCTGGGCCGGCAGTTTCTGACCTTCGCCCAAAGGGCTCCTGTGATGCTTCTCCGCTTCTCTCTCTCTCTCCTTGGCTTCACTGTGTAACTTCTCAACTTCACTTCGGAGGTCCTATACCAGAAGAAAGGGGAAAGTGGAAATTTACGTGACAGAGATTTCAAGGACATGGCTTCTCACGTGTTCTCCGTCCTGGGGAGAGCTGTCCGCTGCGTGGTACTGCACAAAGGGTTCCCTCCTTCTCACAGTCATGCATGCCTGAGATCTGGAAAAACCATGACCAAGCTGTCTATGTATCATTCATATAGATATCTCTATATCTATTATATCATTTATATCTATGATATCATTTATAAATGGTGTATCTATTGTATCATTTACCTGGTGGCAAAATCAGACACTATCCAGGGAACGGATGCAGGGAAGAGTATGGGGCGAAAAACACACAATTATGAGTAAGAACAAAACAGGGCACTTACATAATATTAATGCTAATATATTTTCTAAGTACTTACACAAAATACTGTCAAGACTCTGAGGGAGCACATCGAAATAATAACAGCCTAGTGCCTACGCAGATGATTTTCTATTTTAATTTTTTGGAGTTTACACAATCTCTAAATCTGTACCACTTTCGTAATCGGGGGTGCAGAGGTGGAGGGAGGCACTCTTGACTAATGACGCTTACAAAAGCACGGAAAGCACTCGTGTTACAAGGCAGGGAGATAAAACAGAAAACAAGCCGGGCTGGGCATGATGGTAACCGAAATAAGAAAATACTGAAAGGCATATTCTTCGTGATACTGAAGCACGAACTTCACAACAGCAAAAGGCTGCCAAGCGCCCACTGTCGCCAATCCCAAGTGTCGCCATCCACTTTCCCGGTGGCACACTCAGGAGCCACAGAGGAAAGTGATGCACGATCCCTAGAAACGCTTCAGAAATACTGTCTAGGAGGGAGGGGAGAGCGGAGCGAACAGACCGACCCCCGCTGAAAAAGCAACCCAGGTATAGCATACTGTCACTGAAGTGCAAAAGAAACCAAGGGGTTGCCGAAGAAGAGAAGGAACAGAGATAAAGAGCACTGCACCCATTTTTCAGATCTGACACTGAAACCAAAGACATACTCAGAGACTTCTTTTGGATATAAAATTTATACCCCTAAAACTGGGGTCAGATCATGAGTCCAGGAGTTGAGGTACAGGCCTTCCATGCAGCTGAGCCCAGCTGGACCCCTGGCACCAAGTTACTAATTGCCGGCACCTCCAGGTATGCCTGGGTAGACCCCGGCCCAGCAGGGCAGAGCAGCTCAGCATCCTTGGACCCTAATGCTGAACCCGCTGGCCCGGGTTCCCAGAACCACCGGGAGGGGCCTCTGGACCCCGAGGACTGTTCAGGAAGCCAACAATAAATAAAATAGAACTCGAAAACTGAGAGCAGGACAAAAACTAAACTGTGTACTAAGCTGACTAGCCAGTCCAACAATAAGGCTTTATTTCCGTGACTTTAAAGCCAAGGAATCGGCTCACGATCCCTTGTCATCTCAAAGTCCCCAGAACACGCTTATGCTATGGAGGCAGCATCATGTCTGCGCTATTCTTGCCCAAAATGTGCCATCCCCATCTAATCAGGAAAGAAATGTTAGACAAGTCCTAATGAGGGGCTTCGGGGACCAGAGCTCAGTGGGGAGGGTGTCTGCCTTGCACGCAGCTGACCCGAGTTCAATCCCCGGCACCCTATATGGTCTTCAAAGCCCCAACAGGTGTGATTCCTGAGTGCAGAGCCAGGAGTAAGCCCTGAGTGTCGCTGGGTGTAATCTGTAATCCAAAAACCAAAACCAACAAACAAAGTGAGAGACTTTTTCAAAACACTGGTTCAGTATTCTTCAAAGGTACCAAGTTCATAGAGAACAAAGATTGACAAGTGTTCCTTAGTTGGATGATACTACGAATCAGGGCATGGGGCCAGAGCAAAGTGATAGTCCAGCAGGTAGGGCGTTTGCCTAGCACAAGGCCAACCCGAGTTCAATCCCTGGAATCCCAGGTAGTCCTCCAAGTAATTCTTGTGTGCAGAGCCAGGAGTAACTCTGAATGTAGAGCCAAGGGTAACTCCTGAACATCACTATGTGTGACCCAAAATGCAAAGGGAAAAAAAAAAAAAGATGGGGTAAATCATCACATGTAGATTCTGGATCAGAAAAGCTTGACTGGAGAAATAGGCAAAACTCAATAGTCTATAGATCTGATGAGAGTCTCGAGTCGCTGCTTCTCCCCTGAATCTGGTAAGAGTTCTCCAGGTACTCAACTTACCACTACAGGAAGTGGGGTGAAGACTCGGTGGGAAGCATATTATCATTTCACATCTTTCCTCTCTGAAATTACTTCAGAGTAAAGAGGTTTTAGGATCCGGGGATGCAGCTGTGGCAGAGCACCTGCCTTCACTGCCAAGAGGCCACACGTTCGATCCCCAGCACCTGCACACTGCTGACAACTGTGCTCCCAGGCACCCCTGTGTGACCCCTGAGGCCCCGACAGCTGCAGCAAACACCGACAAAGGGAAGAGAGGTGGGGGGGCGGGACGCTTTATGAAAGGGACTGGCCAGCCAGTGCTAAGTCCACACGCCTCGGCTGCTTCCTGACTTCGAACAAACCAAAGTTTCACAATGATCAGGGAAATCTAAACATTAAGTGGCATCTGAGTAACATTAGACATTTATGTTCTTTTTTGAAACGAAGAAGCATGTGTTTGCTTCTTCACCAGGGATGTTCGCGGGCTCTGTGTGCCAGGGTCTCTCCCAGCTGCTATCTCTCCCCGCCCCCCCTTCCCCCGCCCCCACCAAGACAGGAACTTTTCTCAACAACACTGCAGGGGGGGCAGAAGGAGGCGGTCAAGGCAGCCCCCGCCCCAAGCATCACCGAGGTGGCCCCAGAACCCAGCTCAGGCTGCAGCGGAGCCCCAGCTGGTTGGCTGAAATCACTGGGAATTCTCACCACCTGCCCTCCCCCACCCCCCACCAGAGCACTGCTGGGAGCCCCTCAAAGGAACACTGAAAAAGACAAACATCATGTCTTGGAGTGACTTGAAATAAAATGGCCTGTGCGATGGAGAGGGAGCCAAAGGCAGGTGCAGCTGCGAGAAAGATGGTGCCGAAGTTCACACGTGCTGCGGTGAGGTGGGGGTTCAAGACTCCTAACACTGGTATCTCCTCTCAGGGTGAATCTGAAATTTTCCATAAAAGCAGATAAAAAAAAAAAACTCCTCACAGATTCAAAACCTGAAATATGATCACGTTTTGACGTGATCATGAATGATGTTTCAAAATTATGTGAATTTTTTTATCGATTTTTTAAAAATATTTTAATACTGCGGAGAAACCACATGGATAATGTGTGGGAGAAAAGTAAGTACTTGTAAAGTAATGTTGCTTTTAAAAGAAACAAAGAAACCCTTTAAAAATTAAATGTTATTTTTTTCTTCGTGGGCAAACATGATGATAAGACAGCCCTGGACCTTTAATCCAAAACAACTGGACCAAGAACCCATCGTGAATTGTAAATGTCAGTAAATAGAAATTCAATTCTAGAGGGAGCTAAGAAGATTCTTTTTTTATTACACAAATAACACTAAGGCAACATTAACAGAATCCTAAAGTAAAGGATAAAAAACATGGGGGGGGGGCACAGCAGAGATGAGAGAAAAAAGAAACAAACCAACAACCATTCTCCCACAAAACAAACCAATAAACCCATTCAACTGAACAAGGACCCAGAGGTTCATTTGGGTCCTTATTCATTTGCAACCGTAATACAATTTGGGCTGATGTCTTCCCCCCTTTTACCCTACTCATTCCGATACACACCGAGAAAATACCAATGAAATGATAATACTAACCATGCACACACATGTACGTGCAAAGTCAAGTTTTAAAAGTATAAAGTCAAGAGAATTTTTTTTTGCCTTTGTTTTGGGAGGGAAGAGTGGGCCACACCTGCTGATGCTCAGAGGACCCAGGAGGAGCCAGGGATGGGAGCAGGGTTGGCCTTACACAAGGTAAGTGATACCATGCATCCTTGCAGGGGTGAGAGATACTTCTCAACTACCTCTGGCCCTGGTATTTTCCACCGAATCATTGTTGAGTTCCTGTGATTGACAAAAGTGTTTCATGGACACATCGCCCTAACACCACACACACCTCCAGAGTGCACACATCTTTCTGCCACTGCCCCCGGGTCCCCCCACCCCCCCTCACCCTGGGAAGCAAGTTCTGCTGATCAACTCTCCAGGGCTGCTGTTGTCTTGGACCACTGTTACTCCTTTATGTCACTTCAAAAGGCAAGCAGGGCACCAGGCAATGCGCACCATCATCTTTAGAGCACTCGTTTCAGTAAGTGGATCAGAAATCACTGACCTACTTCCCACTCCCTGCAACCATCTGCTCTGACAGGAAACTCAGCAAATACCTCTAGGAGTGAAACAAGTTTTGGATTTTTTTCTAAGTTTTAATATATATATATATATATTTTTTTTTTTAAGCTAAATGCCTGAGTGAAATTAAGTGAAAGGATATGTTTTGAGAATCTATTCTACAGATCAGCAAACTTCCTTCAAAGAAGACAGAGGGATTACAGATACCATCAGCAAAACTAAATGCTTCCATTTCTCATCACCAGCACTCCGGTTTTCTTAAATGTTTGCTAATTTAACTGACATAACATGGCTCTGCACACAAGAGCATGAATTTGTGTTTCTTAGATTCCCACCAGGGTTCTCAATTTTTTAATCAGCTTACTTTTTATTGTAGAAGCACTAGTTTACAACATGATGTAAACCAGACTTCTAGAATTTCACCAGAATTCTAGTTTATAATCTGCTTAATGATTGTTTGCGTTAGTCCTGAGAGTAGGTTCAAAAATGATCTTCCTTCCTTTATTTCTTCCTTCCGTTTGGGGGGGCACACTCAACTGTGCTCAGAACTTACTCCTCACTCTGCACTCAGGGATCACTCCTGACGGGCTCTGGAGACCATATGGGATTCTGGGGACAGAACCTGAGTCAGCCTCGTGAAAGGCAAGAGCCCTAACTCCTGTACTATCTCTCAAGCTCCAAGAACGGTC